CCAGCCGGTAGGAACCAGCCGGTAGGAACCAGCCGGTAGGATCCAGCCGGTAGGAACCAGCCGGTAGGATCCAGCCGGTAGGATCCAGCCGGTAGGATCCAGCCGGGGGGCTGCCAGCGAGATGCGGCGGGCGCCGCCCACATTCTTCCAGACGCTGCAGCCCCGGAGAACATGCGGGAGTCAGAACCAGGTCAGGGAAAAAGATCCGAACAGGAAGCCTCAGAGTTTGTTTCCATGTCTGAAACGTCTTCCAGTCCAGTGGATGTTTTTGAACTTTCTGGAATGACTGACCTGGATGACTGGGAATCTTCACCAGAATAATAGACAGGCAGCAGCTGGTAAGGGTTGTTTCTTTTAAGGGAGTTTTTACAAAATCCTTAGAGCCCTTCTAAACTCTGTATTCCCCTTCGGAACACATTTTTTCATTGTACCTTAAGGGAAAAGACTTAAAAAAAACACAAACCATCAATTATCAGGAATTACTTCTCTTCCGCCATCTTTTTTCATTTTTCCTCAAGGGAATAAATACAGGAAAGAATAAACCCGAATCCCCTTAGCTAACCTTTTTTTTCCTTAAGGGAATAAAATCCTTCGGCTCTACTGGTTTCATCTTTCCTTAAGGGAAAGACAATAAAGGTACAAACCTAAAATTAGCCAGAAGTTTCAGAAAGCCATCTTTCGTGTCCGCAGGCAGACAGGGAATAAAACTACTTCTCTTTCCGTTCTCCAATCAACTGCTCGCATAGAACCCAGCCCACATTTACTTCTTCAGACGGTCTACACGTTCGCTAGAAGAAGAAAAATCCACTCTGATCCACTCAGGTGGAGCATCTGAGCAAAATGTTTGAGTTTAACAAAGAAACGTCTCCATGATTCAGTGAAAGCAGATGGGCGAGCAGTGATGGACGGCGGTGGCAGAGATACGTTTGGTTTCTATGGCCCTAAATAAGCTTTTATGATGTTTTAAAGTTTATTCTTGAGACCAGAAGGAAACTGACTTCCTGTGAGCTGAGATTTTCCTGAGCTGCAGCTTCTAGTATCTCCTGCTCCATCACCAAACAGCAGAAACACATTTTTCTCCTGACTTTTGGTTCCTTTGAAACATCTAAGAACATCGAAGTTGGTCTTAGGAAATAAAATCTGGTTATGATTTTGGATCTAAAGCCAAATAGATCATAAAACAGACAGAACCTCAGAGAAGTTTTCCATATCTGCCTTTAAAATGAAGGATTATATGAAGGGAAATGATTCTGATGACTTTAAGGACGCAACAGAACCTTCTGGTTCACAGGAAAAACCAGCAGAAAGAAGCAAGTGGATCAGAAGATCTGAATGGGAGACCCGATGGACAGGCACCGAGGACAGGTGTCCTCCAGTCCAGCAGATAAGAAACATGTTGGATCAGAAAGTTTCCTGCAGTTCTTCTTCCCTCTTCCTGTCAGCAGCTGCATACCTTTATTCCTGCGGGACGGTGGAGGACGCATCCCTGCTGCAGATGATCCAGCCAAGCACACAGCAGCCAAAGAGGACAGGGGGACAGAGTCCACAGAAGTCCTGTCATCCAGTCCAGCCAGGAAGTGTAGAGGCTCAGTGCGTTTGGGCTCTCCAGTTCTGTCAGGCTGGTAAAGGTTCTGCTCCCAGTAACCACAGTCAGAGATGGAGGCTGAAGACCAGGTGTTCCTAAAGCTTCCAGGGTCCAGATCTGCTCAGTGGAGCAGGACGCCATCAGAGTCTGAGAGGAAACATCTAACGGTTGGAAAGCGAATCAAATGATTCCGGCTGCTCTGGTTCTACGTTCTTCAGATGTTCTTCAAACATGTTGGTGTTTGATTGTTATTGTCTGAGGTGTTCCTGCACAGATCATCTCCTTCCTGGAGAAGGAGGAGCTCTGATGATTCTGTGTTTGTTCATCCAGTTTAACTCCGTCAGAACTTTCTTCAGCCAGATGTTGTGGATGTTGACATCTGATCTCCTGCAGAGGTCCATCCTACTGCGGCTCCATCTGATGCAGATCAGGGTTGTTCTTTATCTTTATGTTTATTTTCAGGGTGCTTCTGCAGCTCCACCTCAGACTGTGGGCTGAGGTGATGGAGCTGAGGTGATGGAGCTGAGGTGATGGAGAAAGCGGTGCTGCTGAGACGTTACATCCGATCATAGTTCAGCTCTCAGAAGGTGAAAGAACTAACGCCGACCTCTGTCCTCCTGCAGGGCCGCCCTCCCCACCCAGAGACCTGGTGTTCTCCCTCAGGCAGTCCTCCCTGGTCCTGGACTGGGCCCCGCCCTCGGACGCCGGGGGCCGCGTGGACCTGACCTACAGCGTGGGCTGCCAGCGCTGCGTGGCGGCGCGCTGCGAGCCCTGTGGGCCCAGCGTGGGCTTCGTTCCTCAGCAGGTGGGCCTGATGGAGCGGACGGTGACGGTGGTCAACCTGCTGCCCAACACCAACTACTCCTTCACGGTGGAGGCGCTGAACGGCGTGTCGGAGCTGCTGCCCAGCAAAAGGTTCTACACCCAGGTCAACGTGTCCACTAGTCAGCCCGGTGAGTCCCTGTTCAGCCAGGAACCAGAACCAAACAGGTTCCTCCAAAAGGAGGAAACCAGGAAGCACAGCAGAGGTTCTGATTAGGAGTCCTGTACCGACCGTTTGGACTTCTGTCAGAATTCCTGCAGAATATTCAGACTCTCTGTGAAAAGTTCTTCAGGAATGGAGTCACTGGACTTCCATTGTTCCATTATTTCCTTCCTTATTTCCTGTCAAATCTTCCATTATTTCCTTCCTCATTTCCTGTCA